GCGATGGATTCCCACTTTCGGGCAAGGAGGAATGGCTGCAAGACAGTAGCTACTGGAGCCCCAGCTAAAATTACTCCAGCTTGAGGGGTCACATTTAAACTGAACAGTTTCCTGAAGTCTGGCAACAGAGGAGAAGGAGACAGCAGCCATGCAAGGGCACTTTTCACTAAACTCTTTTTACATGTACATCCACATAAAATGACAAGCACAGTTGTTTTCAGTTCATGTAACCTAATGCCTGATTCCCTTTTATATAGTGGACAATTTCCCCTTCTGTTTCTTTCTCTCTCTCCAGCTGGGTTCTCTAACTAGAAATGCAATGGCAGAGTCTGACACAGGCACATTGTAGGAGCATCCAGTACTCACATGAATAGAGCAGGAGGCAGCAGCATCCCACATTATCTCATTAAGAGACTTCTGTAGGAATGCCTCTGCAAATGTAAACTCATTAGGGGGTTGAACTGCAGCAGTTGTTTTCACATGGGTACATCCAAGCTCAAGCAATCATTTGATTGTTTCTGTACTCTTAACTGAGTTCTTAAGTATTTTTTTGAATGTTGCCTGAGAGCTAAATAACTATGTGCCACATTTATACAGTACCTTTTGCCCTGTTGCAGTAGACCACCGAAAACTATGTCCAGTTGATTAATAGCAGTGATCAGCTATCTGCTCTGATACCACACACTGATACCATGATGAGAATATTTGTAGGAAGAGAGTGTTTCACAAGATCCATCCAAGAATAAGAATAATGTTGATGTTACTGGCTCAGAACAGTCTGTGATGCTCCAAGTAATCAAAGACATTGTGGCCCATGTTTTACTCTCTCTGACTGTGTCTTTAGCAACATAAGCCTCCCTAGCAGATAAGAATGTCAGCATTGAATGGACTCAGAGTCCATGGTTATAAAAATTGGGGTGATTTTTTTTAAAGAGTAGATGATACTATTTCACCATCTCTGCAGCCAGAAAGTGGACTGGTTGTCCTACAAGGGAAGAGTGACACTGACGGCCAACTGTTCCATATAAAAGAGTAACAGAACCTGGCAACTAAGAGCAGCGAATTTCTCCTGCAAGTATGAGCTGGATGCTGCAACCCCACTGTGACATGCTGGGGTTGAAGACAGCACAGGGTGGTTTTAAAGAAACAGTGTATCAACGTTTCTGAAACAAATAATTTATGTTCTGCAGAAAAACAGCACTATTAACCAATTTTGTTTTCATTTCTGAATGGGAAGTAAACCAAACAGCAGCATTCCAGTGGCACAGGCACTGCAAACTTTGACCAGCTATTGGCAGAAGGAAAATCCATCCCATGCTAAGCAGGTGTCATTATTTTTCAGCTCCATCCCACCTTAACTATCTGAAGAATAACATTCAAGTGCAGAGATCAGTGGAGGGAAAAAAACCCCACTGCTGCTAGCCAGCTGAGCCGATAGCACAGACCATACATGGATTTGGAATGAGGGGCATTAGACTCACAACCTCCCCAATGCCAAGAAATACACAGCTAAAATCGGCAGCTCAGAGATGAGTAATGCATAAACACGGTCCAGAGTGTTGCAAGTGTTCAAGCACTTCCAGAGTATATTGGGTAAATGAGCATCTGTTTCCATGGCACCAAAACAGCACAGAGATCACGCCATGTCCTTCGGCAGTTCTCTGGTTCCATGCCTGGTGAGTGTGAGCTGACCTCCAACGAAAGCACTTCCTGGCTCCAGCACAGAGGAGCACAATGAGGTCCCTCCTTCATCCAGAAACAATGCTTATGGGCAAGGGCTACCCGATGCTTCTGGCAGCCAGGCGAGCCTGGCTGAGAGTCACCAGCCACCCCCCTCAGAGCCCAGGTAGCTCTGCTCAAGCCCAACCCTTGGGCAGCAGAATGAGGGGGCTCCAGTGTCAGAGGCCTTGTGGTGCTGCTTCTGTGTAGTGAGATGGGAGTGGTTTTTTGCAAGAAAACCATAAAACTGTGGAGCTTAGAAACATGCAGGATTCAGAGCCCATTTACATGGCACTGGAAGGACACTCAAGGTGTTAGAAGACTCTGTCCTTGTCCAGCAGTCTCTTAAGGAAATATCACGTACATGGGCTGGCCCAGACATATTCAAATGGTTTAAAATGGGGTACACAGCTAGATTCTCCCAAGCAGAGAGGGAGCACACGAGCAACTGTTTTACTTTGTATGACTACTGAAACCAAAGGCAGAACAACTTATTATTTCTGTATTAAATATGCAAATTAAATAGATTAACTGTGATATTATGCCAATTAGTTGTCCTGTTCCTCCAGTAAGATGGTAGTTTTAGAGTGGCCAAAATGATTGCCTTACCCATAGTAACGGGATTCCACCATCTCAGTGATGTCCTGCTGAGACCATGACAGGCGAAGGCCAAAGAGACTTTAGCTGAGGGCTTGGAATGTCATTTTTTGGTTTTCCTAGAGTCTGTTTGTGGTCAGGCAGCTGGAACTCTGGACAACTAATGATGTCAGCATTTTATTTGGAGAGAGAAAGTAGGGGGAGTAACTTTTGTCCTGTAGTCACAGTATTTTACTGGAAACCCCTAATTCTGCCTTCATGAGATTTCCAGGGATAGCCCAGTGCCTGCTGGAAGTGGTGCTGTGGAACACGCCCTCAGACCCCTCAGGAAAGGTGCAGTGCATAGGCAAAGACAAGGCTCGGAAGGCATTACTGCCGCCAGTCAGGTGCAGTTTGAAACCCTTCTCAGTGGTCAGGAGAAGAAATCCACCAGTACCAACTCCCTGAAATTCATTCTGGGTAAAATATCTTCTTGCACTATACTTCCATCATGTATGTCATTGGTACCACTTTGTGCCACAGAAGAGAGTAGTTTTGGGGTGGCCAAAGTGATTGCCTTACCTACAGTAAGGTATTATGTGCCGGGGGATTCTTTGGCCCAGAAGATACTACCACCAGCAAGGGTTTATTACAATGCCAGTCAAGCAGTTGCTGCAATGCCCCTGACATGGAGGTGCATCACCTGCTCTCTCCAGCAGTGCTCTCTGCAGCTGGCAGCAGCTGCTGGGGTTCACTCCCAGGCAACCACACCCACCCTTGCTTCCCACCCTAAGATAGTGCATGACTGGTGCTTTGCTGCATGTTGTTTGTAGGAACATTTTATTCTATTAGGGCACTTCTGGAAGCCAGATGTTCTGTTTTAGTAGAGACTCTCTTTTTAAAACAAGCTTTTTTGTGCTGATGTTATTTTTATTCAGTTCTCCCTGTGAAACTTCTGAAGACAGATTTTTGCTTGGCAATGTCATATCAGGGTATGAGGGAGAGATTGCTATCCGTCTCTGTCTACATATGTACACGTATCCAGGGAACCTACTCAGGGAGCACTACTGATGTTGCAAAGCTGAATATTCATGCATTAGAAAATTGCTTTATTAAATCACACTTGCAGGGCCACTCCAACTTTAAGTTACAAAATCATACACTCTTTTTCACAAGGTCATCTCTGCTTTGGAGAGCTCTGTTGGATTTGATCAGGCATGGAGTCAGGAGTCTGTGTTGTAGAAAGCTCTTGCTGGTAGGATTGCCACCTTCTGCAAAAGGGGTCTTGTAAACTAAGTGGAAGATGAGGAAGGTGACCCTTTCCTGGCTGCTGGACTCCATGCTAGCCTCTGCCATGGATTTCTTTTCTGACCTATGTTAAATCACTTCCACCAACTTTTAAGTGGTCAGTAATGCCCACTTCATAACTTCTGGGCTTTATCACTCAACTCTCTGGAGACAGACTTGCAGCCATGCTGAGCCACTGTAGCTCCAAGGAGGGTGATCAGGAGCACGTGCTTCAAACCAGTCCCAGCCAACCTTCCAGGCTGCTCTGAAAATCCAGTACAATGTGGTGAACACCAGTCATGTAAATTCACTTAAATCACTTTGTTCTTGGCCTTTCCCTCAGTGATGTGAGGATACCTTCCTCTGACATCATGAGAATGTTAATGTGGTCATAAGGTGCTGAGCCATGATAGCATCGTGTCCTCAGAGCTGGGACCAGTGAGCTTGCACAGAGTATTTCTGTGTTCAGCACAGACCTTGAAAAATAACAGAAAGTAACAGTTAATAAAAGGAACACTCTTTCTACATAGAAACTCTCCCTCCTCAAGCAGAAATTCTGGTTTCTTTTATTCTTAGGATTTTACTTATTTTGATACATTCAGAAATCATAAGATCAGTAATTCTCAGCATTCTTTAAACTCCCTGGCACTTAAAGCTCTAACACAAGCAAATGCTGAAATTAGAAATAAGCCATGGGACAGATTTTCCCGTGCTTACTAATCAAGAGCCACAGACATTAGGATTTTTCTCTCAGGCTAAAATCTCTTGTCTTTATCCAGGCAAAATTAATTTAACAAATAAAAGGAGACCTGTGACCTCTGTATATGTTGACTTGGATGGTTATCATGTCAAACTCTCAGGTCTCACTGTTACAGTCACCCCAGTTCTGTGTTATACAAGACTTGGTGGCTGTGGCTGTTGAAAAAAACACGAGTGTCTTGAGGTTAAGCTGCCTGGAGAGGGACCTAATAACAGCCTGTTTGCTGAATCTGTAAGTCATGAAAAATGAAGACAGAGAAAAATCTACTATTCCTCCAGCCCATAAAGTACGACTCCCTACGGTATTATATGCTGTTCATAACTTTGTCTAGTCCAGTTTTAAATTGAGTTCCTATACCTCTCCTTAAACTATTCCTTGGCATAAGTGCTTGGAACTTTTTCCTGACTTCATACTTTGGGGTTTTTATCTGCTTATTCTTGTCATTACTTTGAGATTTGGCTGTGAAAATGTAAATGTGAGAGTTGACAAGTGTTTTTATAATCAGGAAAGGGAGGGAGGTGTCTGACAGCACAGATCATGGCTTTTAGTGATGAGGTTTCGTGGGCATTAGCTAGATGAAAACAGAACTCGCAGAGTTCAATGAGCAGGTATGCTTCCAAGGTAGCCAGGCTGACTGGAATGTCTTTTTGTCTTGCAGAAGATGAAGCCCGTAGTCCAAAGAAGACGATCTACCCCATCTGCCATTTCTAAAGCTCTCAGCAAGTCAAAGTCCCATTCCAGGTTGAGTAAATACCTTTCTAATTCCTGTTTCCGTCTTTCTGCCTATGCAAACTGAAATCAAATTCATATGAATTCAAATTCATTTAACAATGTTGAAGGCAGTTTGGTCCTGCAGCAGGGGCAGGCAGGGGCAAGTGGAGAGGGACGAGGCACTAGACAGACATGGTGGCACACAGGACATGGGCTGGGGCAGCATTTGCCACCTCACATACCGGGGCTGCGGTGGCATTATCCCTGAGGAGCATCCTAGTGTTCCCTCCACTATTTCCCTGCCCGGCCACCCCCAGGTTACTCACTGCCAAAGCCCTCTGCAGCCCCTGCTCCATCTGCTGGACTGCCAGCGGGAGAGCTGGCCCTGAAATTTGGCCCTGGCTCAGATACAGGTACATCTGGGCGGGTGAGGGGACTGGAGATGCCTCTGGAGATGGAGGGAGGGCTGGGAGACCTGCCCACGCCCTGCCAGTCCTGTGTGGGATTCAGCCATGCTCCAGGACAGCCATGTCCCTGTCAGAGTACAGCAGCTTTCCCTTACTACCAGCACAGGTTGTGCAAAGCTCCCTCCCTTGTCTGCAGCTTATCAAGTCTCTGCCCACACTTTGCTCCTGCAGGTGTTAAGCACCAGGAGTGTCAGCAGACAGGGACCCACATGCCAGACGTGCACATCTTCGGAAAAACTAAGTGCTAGCCCTGACATGAGCACTTCAGTCCAACAGTGGGACTCCTTGACATCATCCTGTCCTCCTCCTGCAGCACCATGACAGATAAGGGGATACCGCAGTCCTTTCTGCCTTGCTCTGATAGGAATCATAAATAACATTTCCTGAGGGATTTGTTTAGTTTGATTTTATTTTCCTTGTAAGAAAGAGATAATAAAGCTGAACTGATTGACATTTTGATCTGAAGCAGCCCTCCTGAGGAATATCCCTTCTGTATCACACCATCAGTGATTGATGCACAGTATACACTGCTTCTGTGGGGTCAGTTTTGTAGGACCATTTATTATAAAGGGCAGGACTGATTTTCTTTTGGTTGTTTTTTGACTAAGTTATGTGGCTTCTTTTTCATTCCCCTTCCCCATCTAAATTGCACTAGGAAAAAAAAGTAAAGAAGAGAAACAAATTCTTGCCTTTATTTGGCTGGAGAATATCCTTGTGAGGGAGGGAAGCTTTAAATGTTTCTCATGATGAATTGCTGTGGAGGGAGTTGGTCCAATGCCATCTTTGCTTAGGCCACCAGAGTATCAGTGAGATTTTTTTTTGCTATCTTGTTGTGTTTACAAAGCTGTATAACTCCTCCGGGTTTAGGAAATCCACTGCTGGGATTGTGAGATGCTGTGGCTCTCACTGCTCAGCTGATGGACTTGGAGAGCTTTTGTATCACACTTAAAGGTGATTTAGCTTCTCACTTGTAGCTCCACACATACATAGACCAAGGATTCACTTGTTGGTGGCTGTGGAGTGGTGAGGAGGAAAGAGAGAATTTCTGTTTGCCAGGGTGCAGGTGTTCCTGTGACTGGGGGATGATTTTAGAAAAGCAGCTCCTGGCTTACTTTAACCTCACTCTTGTGAAATGAAATGAGCTCAGTTGTGAGGCCAGTGGAAACTGAGTTAAGACCAGCAATGTCAAAAATACTACCCTTACAGCTCATGTGTTTTTTCATTTGTTTGTATAGAGACTGCCCTTAGACTAGAGCAGTATTGCTAAGGGGTGGAGGGAAGACAAGTATCTCTTCCACATCATCCTTTCTCAGGCAAGATACACATTTTTGTCTAAATGTGGAGACAGGAGGATTTGTGGTTTTTTTCTCTCTACATAAATCTAAGGCTGTGTCTCAGAGGTTCACTGATTAAGTCAGGGTCAGGCATATGAACACACTGTCCGAGTAAGAATCAGCAAAGAACTATTCCTTGTTCATGTGGCACATCCCACCTGCTGAGACCCAGAAATGGCTGTGGGAGCTGTTGTGCTGCCAGCACCACTGACCTGAGCCCAGAGCAGTGCTGAGCAGTGCTCTTTGGGGGTGCTGAGGTGCAAGATCATGCTGGGCAGAGCTCTTCTTGATGGGAAGAGCACAGGGAGAGGGTCTGTTTTAATTCCCATGATGGCTTGTTGACTGCAGTCAACATGCAAAAACCCTCAGGTTTTTTTGGAAATGATCAGCACCTATGTGAATCTCAGTGGAAACAAGATACTGGATGGCAGCCAGGCAAGCCAGAATCAGATGTTTGGAATTGGATGAGTACATGCAGTTCCTTGTCTTTGTGCTGCAGCCCTTGCACTGACAAGCAGTTCAGTCTGGATGGAAAACGTGCAGAAAGGACAGTTCCCCCCATGCCTGTCTGAGCTGTGCCACAAGCCATGGGCTTTCTCTTTTCAAGTCAAAGCTCACACACGTGTGCAGGAAATAAGTCTTTTACCTGAGTGAGAAATTACTCAAAAAGAACTATTTCGGCAGCTTAACCTCTCTAGATTTGCTGCGGGCATTTAGGCAGTTTTCCATCTGTCTGAGGCTGGTGAATTAATTGGGCAGGGGCAGGCAAATGCATGTCATACAAGAGAGCAATAGGGATAGTGCTGGGAGAGGCATGGGGCTGATGGGCTCCTCCAAAACAGACATCTGTGTTGAATAACAAATCCTTCCGAGAAAAGCTTCTGACAAAGTCTTGTAATTTTTTCTTGCTCCTTTAGGGAAACTACCCTTTTCTCTTCCCATTTGGACAATGGACTGCCAAGTAGGGTGTTCAGCAGCCCAGGCTCCACCTTCATCCTGGATGAGCGAGTACAGCTAACTGTGGGCCTGCAGACCCAGGAAAGACATCTGATCTTGTTCAGCGATGTGGTGGTCATTGCCAAGTCCAAGTAAGAGGAATTCACACTCACTCCTTCTCCCCAGTATGTGCTGTTGAAACTAGGCTCAGCTCCCATCACATGGTGGGATTCTTGGAGCTGTCCGGTGCAGGACCAGGAGTTGGACTCAGTGAGCCTTGTGGGTCACTTTCAACTCAGGAGATTCAATGATTCTATGAGGTTCTGATCTATTTGTGGAGCAATCAGCAGTCTTCAAAACAATGCTTCTTCGCAAATGTGGATCTAAAATGTGGCATCCCACCCACCTTCAGAAATTCTTCTTGGTATTAATGTTTCACTCCATATTCCTGAAGGAAAAGGTTGTCTAATCAGTTTCAGCCTTTCCCTTAGGAGGTTGCTTGAAGATATACCATGAGGGCAAGAGGCAGAAGGACAAAACTGACTCCCAGTCTGACTCCTTCTGCCACATTTAAATTAAGATCTGTCACTACATCTATGTGACTGGAAGGGGCATGACCAGACTCTGGAGGTCTAGGTGTTAGGATCTGGTCCAAGGAATTCCTAATTTCCATTGCAGATCCTCCTCCAGCCTGAAGCTGAAAAAGCAAGTGCATCTGAGTGAAGTGTGGACTGGCACCTGCCTCAGCGAAGTGACAGAGAAAAAAATGAGTCCTGAGAATTCATTTGTCATTGGCTGGCCTACCACCAACTATGTTGTCACCTTCAGGTATCTTATCAGACAACAGACCTCCCTCTGCATCCCAGTAGCTGCCCAGGTCTCCCATGTGTCAAGTGAAACAATGACTGAGGCTATAGGGCCCTGAACTCTACCCCTGCACTTTTCCCCATTGAATAAAGGACTTCCACTCACATTAGGCAGTGTGGTAAAAATTTAGATGTTGGGAGACAGTCATCTTAGAAGGATATCTGCAGGTTCATCCCTGAGAGCCTTTTAGAGGACCAATCCTTGCAAGTGTTGATATAGTGTTGATACAGGATGCAGCTGCACAGCATCCTGTAACATCACGACCAAATCTGCTCTTAGCAAAACAGCTTGAGCTACCAGATAACTTATAAGCATGTTGTTTGAGCAACTGCCATCCACCATCTCTGTAGGAGATTAGTCCTAGCTTGAGAATTTTTCATTATGAAGGATAGGTTAGTTATGTCAGTGAAAAATGTCAGGTGACCTCGTGCCAGGATTGAATCCTTTATCCATCCTTAGTGTGGCTTAGGCAGCTCCTGGGCAAACCTTTCTCCTGCAGGCTTTTGCCAGGGTGTTCCAAGGCCACCATATTGGAGTATAAAATACAAAGGTTCCTCAAGATGGGTCTGCACAAGCAGCACCATTCAGAGCTTGCCCAGCCCTTGCTAACCCCAAAAATAGAAATGCAGGGGAGCATGGAGCAGTCTAGAGAGTAGCCTATTTGTATCCAAATGCCATCTCAAAGACAGTCCCAATGTTAAACCTGAGCTAATAAGGCTCACCAAAAAGCAGGTGACCTTTTTATTACCTTGACACAGTCCAGTCTGGCTAAATGGAATCTAAGTCTGGTATATCACAGGGAACTCAGGTTACTGCTGGCTAAGGGATTTCTTCTTCATCCTTCCTTTTACAGAGCAGAGAGGTCAGCAATCTCCAAGGGTCACTGTCCTCAGGGGTTCTGTGGGCACAGCTGGGAAGCACTGATCTGGCCCAATGCTTTTCCATCTGTGGGGCAGCTGCCTTGGTGGAAAAAGAAATGGGAAACATGTCATGGTTTTCATACCTGCTGTCTCATCATTTCAAAGGGTTGGGATGTTGGTCTTGCCCAGGTGATGCATTTCCGATGAGGGTTCATGCTCTGACATGCAAGTTGCTGTTTGTGTCTTAGCCCAAACACAACAGCAGTTCCATTTCCTTCCCTCTGAGGCATGGGTAACCTGTGCTGGCAGCTGAAGCTTCTAGGAACAGCAGACATTGGGAAGGAAATATTAGCAGAAAGAAAATAGCAATCAAAGGTCACTGCAAAAATAACAAGGGCCCACAGTATGAGTTAACTCCAACTTGACAGAAAGATATTTGTCCCTTATCTGAATGCTCACCAGTCCAACAGGAAATGTGGTCCAGTTTTTTGCTGTTTTTTGTTGTTGTTATTATTATTGTTATTTGTTAAAATAGAACAGAAGAAGGAAAGGACTGTGCTTTTGTTCCAGGGCTTTGCAGGAAGGAACTTTGACTTACAGCTATATATAAATGAAATTGGGTAGAGTTTCCAAAGGCTGTTACCCGCTCAGCACTTGTTTGATGATCTGCCTCCCTTTTTGTCTTCAGCTCAGCTGATGTGAAGGAACGATGGCTGTCAGCGTTACTGTGGTAAGTGACCCTCTTTTCATTCTCCTCCTGGGTGGTTCCTCTATGGCCCTCAGACAAATTTACCATGCTAGGTATCAAACTGCACTCTGATTTTCAGCACATTAAGTGTCTAACTCCTGTTTGAAAAATCCACCCTTGAAATCTGAATATAGAAGCCCCTGGATGAATGCAAAATTGGTGTTAACATTTGGGAGAAAATGGGATCCATCAGAAGATATTGTTGGAGCATCCTTTTTCCTTTGGAGCTGGAGGTTGACTTTACTAATAACTGTGGAAATGTCACAACTGTTGGTGATGATTCAGATGTTTTTTTGATTTGAACTAAAGTTTGTATTTTGTGGCATCCAGAGACTACAGCATTTTCTTTTTCCTGTTTTGTTTTACATGTTGTTTCCACTAACACACAGACAAAAGTGTTTTTACAGGTACAGAGAGGGGAAGAAATCTTCTGATTTGTGGAGAACAGTAGTGATCCTGAGAGAACACTGGGAGGTGTTATGCAGGACACATCTATTTGCATTGAAGTACTGCATGTGGGAGGGTTGCTAGTCTTTGGGCTCCAGGTGGATATAAAAGCCAGGAGCACGTGACCACACTATGAACATTACATTCACATATGTCATATTTAATCTGTATTTATTACAGTACCAAGGAAGGTGTCCCATCCAAATTTTAGGGTCCTTCTCCGGTGTGGTTGGGAAATTATAGTCCTTCCCCTTTTCTTTGGCTTTCAGGCATATCAGTGAGGTAAAACAGAATGAATACCTGAAGAATCTGACCCTTCAGATCTTTGTGCTGGATGACAACAACTGTTCTTCTGTAAGTAAAGCTAAGAACCTGCTCATCAGATCAAGACTACACAGGGGTCTGTGGGGTAGGGGCAGGAAGGCAGGGCTGTGCTGCTATTCCTGTTTCAAATTCAAGTCCCAGACAAAAAGGTTTAGAGGGTGTGCATCTGGGTATCTGCATCCTTCCCACTGGAAGCCCACTGGGAGAGTTTTGGTTTGAGAAATCAGGAGGTAGCCAGACCCTCACCAAAGAGCACTTAAATCTTAAGGTTATTCTTGGCCTCTAGCTTCTTTTTTCTTTTCCTTCTGCTGCACTTCAAAATCTTTGATGGTTTATGGCTGAGTGCCCAAGTTGAGGATATTGCACAAAGTCACAGATATGTTCTCCTGAACTCATTTACTGGAATGTGTCCCAGTCTAGCATACATTTCTTGATTTCATGCCAAGCGTGGTGGGTCACATTTGCCTCCTGGGTACTCTCCTCTCTAAGAGCGATGCTAGACACTCATGGTTCATCAGCACTGTGCCATGTTTACCCTTTTGAGTGACAGTGGCACTATGATCAATTAAACACTGATGTGATCAAACACAGCATCTGAGTGCCACCCACCCCCTGTGATTTCTGCTGGATGAAATCTGTGGATGGTGTAATAGACCCATGCTAGAAGAAGTAGTGGAGAACAGCTTTCACACTGTGTAGCAATCATCCTTTCTGGTGTAGTTCAAATTAGTACAGCTCTTCCGTCCATGAATATTTAGTAAAGACATTCATTAGACAGAAGAGTGACACTCTTCCCAGATTTTCAAGCTACAGGAAACTGCAACCAAACTTCATACCTTTTTATTGGCTTCCTGTATTTTCTCTGTTTGCCTTTCTAGACTACTGCAGTCAATGTGTCCAATGTGGAAACTGCAGAGAGTGTGATGAAGAAGACCCTTCTACAGCTTGGGCTCCCTGTAAGTGGCAGTTGCCAGATCTTAGCTAAGGAAACTAACAATATCTGGTTTACAGGACAATGTGGATGTCAAAAAGTCTAGATTTGCTGTGTGTTGCTTTCTGAGTGGAGGGCAACCTCATGGACCTTCACCCTGCCCCTTTCAACTAACATTTTTCTCTTTTCTCTTCCTCACCCACCAGGGTAGGACCAGTGAACACCACCTCTGGGTGGTCTCGGGAAAAGATGAGCCTGCTTACCCTCTCATTGGTAAGACCTCTCCCACCTTCCCTCAATTCTAGCACCGAAGGAACAAGTGATAAATGATACCAGGGTATGTGCCAGAGAAACACCACAAACATTGCCCTCTTTGCTTAAAGAAGCAATGGTGGGGACACTTTTGCTGATGTAAGATGTGACATCAAGCTACTGTGAGATGTCACTTGGCTTCTATGGTCTCAGCATCTCCGTTGAATCAAAGCGTGGTGACATCTTTGAAGATCTTCACACTTACCTCCCTTTTCCAAGCAAATCTGTACATTTTTGGATGGGAGCCTGTGATATTTCTCAGCAGATGCTTCAAATAAATGGGAGATCTTTAGGCTGGCCTAAGAAGTTCCTTCTATGCAGCGAATGTGATGCAGGGGTAGGACACGCCTCAAAGCCCAATCCAATCTCCACAGCTGCTGGTATGAGATTGAAGGGCTACAGGTTTAGAGGCTGGTCATATTCTCCTGCTCATCTTTGCAGGCTTCTGCTCATAGGCAGAGCATGAGCTCAGCGGCAGCCTGAGCCCACTTTCACTGCCTGCGATAGAGATGTCCACTCTTGTCCATCAGGCAGAGCATCTCCTGACACCTTCCAGACCCTTTGCCTTCGGGCTCTGTCAGAAGCCAAACAAATTGCTGCAGTCAGGTGGTCACTCAGCAAGAGTGTGGTAGGTCCAGAGGAAAGCACTTTGGAAACTGAAGGAAGCTGAATTTTTAGATAGTCCATTGGTGACTTATAAGCCTCTAGTTAGGAAGCTAATATGTTTATCCTACTGTTTTGGTAGTTATTTAGTTTTCATTGCATTTCAGTTTGCAATAGTGCTTTGTTGCAGAATGTTCTGGAGAGCTGCTAATGAGGATTGACTGGCCAGGTTTAAATGGATAAACTTATTTGTAAAGCAATGATCCTATGCATGTGTGGATGTGCCCTGGCCTCTTCAGTCCACACGTGGAAGTTTCAAGTAATGTTGTTTAGAGGCCCAGCTGCAGTGGGAGCCATTGGATGTGGCTGCTTCCTCCTGCCCAGATTTGGAGCTGTTTTCACATAGCTCTGCATCTTTGTTTGCTCTTTGCACAACTCTGCTCAACAGGGCACGAACATCCCTTCAGTATCGCACTGAGCTGTCTCCGGGACTCTGCTGACCAGCAACAAAGAACCAACAATAACACTCTTCTGGCTGATGGGACAGAGGCTTCCTTCCTTGCTCAGCTCCCAAAGGAAAAGCAGTGTCAGTTTGTCCTGAAACGCAGACTCCAAGCTCCAATGCAGCTGAGGAGAGGTAGGGGCTGCAGGAGCATGTTATAGCCAGGCAGAGATTTTGCTGCTTTCCATGGCAGTGTCAGACTCTTTCTGGTATCATATACATATCCTAGAGTTGATCTCATACCTGACAGAGAGGCAAAATTCATCTTTGCAAATGTTCAGAATTAGCTTTCAATCCCTGATTAGCTTTCAATTGCAGGTAATTATCATAGAGTCACAGAATATGCTGAGTTGGAAGGCCCCCATCAGGATCATCAAGTGCAACTCCTGGCCCTGCACAGGACACCCCAGCAATCCCACCACGTGCCTGAGAGCATTGTCCAAACACTCCTTGAGCTCTGTCAGGCTTGATGATGTGACCACTTCCCTGGGGAGCCTGTTCAGTGCCCAAATACCCTCTGGGGGAAGAACCTTTTCCTGAGGTCTAACCTAAACCTCCCTCAACTCAGCTTCATGCTGTTTCCTCAAGTCCTGTCACTGGTCACAAGAGTGAAGAGATTCTCATGCTGCACAGACAGGAAGGTTCCCTGAAGAATGGTGATTGATTGAGAGTTTTGCTGATGGTTGAGAGATGAACAAGTGGTTTCACTGCTGTATATTGTCTGACCATCCCCACTGAGAGTGCAGTTAATAAACAGGGGAGCATAGGAAGTCCTTGTTTTGCTGTGAACTCCACCTCCATCACTGATCACTCGCTGGCCAGCAGGAAGGACAGAAAGGTGTGTAACAGAGTTCTGTGTTTTCCTTCAGAGTCACTGCAGAAACACACCAAGAGGAAGAAGTCCTTGATTGACTGGGCCCTACGCCGCAGCACCAGCACTCCCACGGGCAGCCCTCCTTCACAGTCACCTACTACCCCACGGAAGCTCTTCGGCCTGTCCCTGACCTCTGTCTGTCCTGATGGGATCCTTCCCAAGCCAATTATGGTAAGGAACAGTCTGGACTGTTTGTCCTGACACACACTTGAAATGTTTAGCCCAGAATTTGAAGCCACTTGCAGTATTTATGAGATCTGAATGGGGAAGAGGACCATCATTTGCTTGTTTCAGATTCAGCTCAGTAACAAGGGCAGGAACATCCTTCTTCTGGGTAATCATATCACTTCATTCACAGATGTCTGTCCTGTTTCAGTGGGTGTCTCCAACCAGGTCATCACCAGCTGACAAGGGGCAATGTCAATGGATCCTGCCATGCTGCATAGCCTAGACCTCACTCACTACAAGAGTCCTCTGGTCTCATGCTTGTCACAGGATAAGCATACCCACAGGAACTGTACATGCAACTTGGCTGTCAGGTTCTTGTCCCCGGTTAAATCAGGATAAATCTCTCATATTTTTCTCTTCCCATTATTGATTATGTTACAACACATGAAGTGTAATACACACAAACAAGAGGGTAAAGAGTTAGGCTTTTAAGTACAACTGGGCTTTCTCTTAGGATATGCTGCTCCTGTTGTACCATGAAGGTCCCTCTACTAGGGGCATTTTCAGACGGTCTGCCAATGCCAAGACTTGCAAGGAGTTGAAAGAGAAGCTGAACTCTGGAGATGATGTTCAGGTGGATGGAGAGTCAGTCTTTGTGGCTGCAGCTGTCATCACGGTATGTTTGGCCAAGTAACTCAGCTGTCTGGGCTAATGGTACCTTCCTTCTTTAAGGAAGCAACATGAGTCTTTATGGGTAGGGAAGATTTCGAGGAACAGAAAGCATTTTCCAGCAAGGTACATCCTCGGCTGATGGCTTGGTCCGTCTGTGTGCACAGAGGTATCTGCCTGACTCTTCTTTTCACGTGCAGACGTGCAGTGGCCCTCAGGACAGGGCTTCATTTTGTATCTCCCTGGACCAAAGTACCTCCAGCAGGAAATACAATGATGTCCACCTGCAAGACAGCCATGGTGTCTGTCCAGTGCCAAAGAACATGCCAGAGCCCACACTCAGCAGTTCAGATGCTGCCCTGACATGTGCATGAAGCCCTTTGGTGGCAGCAGCACAGATGCTCTTTGTTGTTTCTGGATGCACAGAAGAGGCTTCGGGAGCTTTGGGAGGACTTGTACCATTTGAGGGCAACTGCTCTGGAACCCCCCAGACAGCTCAAAGGAGCTGGCCTGTGCTCTCTGGACCCCAAGCCTTCACCCTCTGATCAGCCAGTAAGCAAGAAGGAAAGCAGGTGCTAAACCCAAGCAGAGGGGTTGTGGCAGTTGAGGGATAAAGCTTGTGATAAGACCCATGTTTTAGTAAGAAAAAGCCTATATTTTGCACTGGCAAATTGGTCAGAACAATTCAGACATCAACTGCATCAAAAACCATCCCTGTCTCATGTTCTTGTTGGCCTGATACAAAAAGCTGTTGACTGGGAGGATATTCAGGCACTTTCCAACGCAAGACATACACTGAGTTTTTAAATAGTCCCCTGTGAAAAAGCAGTCCTCCTAGCTGAGGAATGTTTCAGAGAGATCTGTGCACAGCCTCAGGGCTGAGTCCTCTGCTGTAGCAGAGATCAGTTGTGGTCTGAAGAAGGGGTAAAACAGGAGGGCTGCCTATTTATTCTGCAGTGCTGCCATGGGAGAACTTGAGGAGGACAGCTTGATGGGTGTGGGAGGGAAGGATAAACATATTTGTGTCATGTTGTTTTGTCTTGTGCTTAATATGAATAAGCAGTGACTATATGCATTGTGAAACCGAAACCAGGAATTCAAAACTGACCAGACTGCTCTGCATATATATATTTAATTCAGGATTTTCTCCGAAATATACCTGACAGTGTTCTATCCTCAGACTTGCATGGACTGTGGATGGAAGCTGTGGACACGGAAAATCGGGCACATAAGATTGAAGCTATCAAAAGGTTCGTAAAAGCCTTTGTCAAAGCTTCTTTTGGTGGGAAAAGGGGGAGCATATGGTCCTGAGAATAGCCTTCATCTTCTAGGAGATTCCTGGCAATGCTCCAGGCCATAGTGGAGCTATTGCTGATGGCCAGTGTCACTGATCAGAACATTTTCCTTTCAGTGGTCTTATATGAACATCATTAACATTTCTTACCCCAGAGAAGCGATTATAAAATTGTTTTCTGATGACCAGTTCAAATTACGAGAACCAGTAAACTGAAAAAGCACAATAATTCAGCTACCAGGAGTACACCAAAGTTAGAAGAATTAGATCTTTAATGACAGTAACTTTTTTCTTATGTGAACAAAATGGCACTGATCATCATATTGGCAGTTAGAAGAAACAGCCCTGTCAAAGTGGTCACTGGGACCTTGAAAACAGCTTTACTGCCTTGAAACGGCTGCCCTGAGTAAGAGCAGCTTATCAGCCTCCTGTGGCATATCCAGTATATTCAACCATGGCTCAAGTCAGTTTTTGAACCGTACCATTTGGCCTGGGCCTCCTTCCTCCGCAGTGTCCGTAGCACGGGACACGGCAGTGCTGCTGGCCTGGAGCTGGGTGCGTCTCCTTCAGGCGGGCCCCGTCTTGTCAAGGCATTGTGGGCTCCTTCCCACATGCTCTAGACCCAAGTTCCTTGTCTCTCCAGCTCTGGGACCACAGCAGATAGGCAATATGGATGCAGAGTTGTGGCTCTCACATGAGTTGGTGGAGAGTAGTGACACAGTCTCACTTTATTATCAAATGTGAATGTCTCAGACTGGGTGCAAAGGGGCAGAACAGGGCAAAAATTTTTGAGAAGCAACCTCTGGTATTTGAAGAGTAGATGTTTGTGAACAGCACTGTTTTGTTTTTTTTCCCACCCCCTGAAAAGTCTTGTCAACCAGCTTCCAGAGGCTAACCTCATCTTACTCAGACACCTCTTTGGAGTCCTCCATCATATTGAGCAGAATTCCGGCGTGAATCAAATGAATGCCTTTAACCTGGCTCTTTGCATAGCACCCAATATGCTGTGGCTACCAAGTCCCACTGGGCCTGAGGAGGAGAGCCAGTCTACAAAGAAGGTAATCTTCCATAGGCTTGGGCTCATGTATGTCTCCCCCTTTCACTGTATTTTGTAGGCTAAAGGAGGGCATAACATCAGTGGCAGTGATGGCTGCATGGCGTCCAGGCCTCGCCCTTTTCCCTGTGCAGCTGTGCCCACACTAGGAGGGGGGTTTAGCCCCTCAGGGTGGAAAGGGAAGCAGTAGTTGCTTTTACCAGACGGACTTCCTATGTTGTCAAGCAAGCACAAAAAAACTGGAGCAGCTGAAGTTGGACACTGCCACTTCGGCTGCGACAAAGTAAGCAGTGAGCATGACAGTGCACCAGAGGGGAGGAATGTTTGCTTGTAGCTTATGAGGTGTTAGCAAGAGTAAGGAAAATTGTAGAACATGCTGTATCTGGCTCACAGTAGCAGTTCATGTAGCTCATATTCTTGCCTCAGGTGTACTTCATACAGACACATTGCCACATTATTAACAGCCTCTTGAGGAAATTATATATTTGTCAAAAGAAAAGGAACAATCTGGGAATGATTTTACTTGCTGTAAATGGCTAGCTCCATTTCCATGAAACTAAACCTGTGAATTCCTGTTTTGCTAGGTGGCCTTGTTAGTGCAGTTCCTGATTGAAAACTCAGGAGAGATTTTCGGAGGTGATATTGCTTCCTTGTTTCAAAAACCTGACAAAAAGAAGTCCAAAAACTCAGCAGAATCTCTGGGTAAGTTGGTGGGTCTATATCTTCCAGAGAAATTTAAAATCTTTTAATAGGTAAAGTCCTCATGCAAAAGAGTTTGCTTTACCTTCTTGTCTCATCTAAGGAAATGCATTGAAAACAAGCTGAGTTTGGTTTTCCCTTTGCCTGGCAAGCATAGGCAGAAAGAGATGGCAAAGCAGAGGGACGAGGAGCAGAACCTCGAATGTGTCCCTGGGGATGGCTGCCTCTCTCTGGGGCTGCTGTTCAACCTACTCCAGCCATTGCAGTAATTTAGTGTAGCCTTAGCACTGTCATGTCCCAGCAGTCTTTTTTTTCTTTTCCAGGTTAGGTCTGTAAAGTTAAACCACATGGTTGAATGGAAAGCGATGGAGTTGTCTCTGTTAACTAACCTATGAATACAGGCCCGTGTTGAAAGCTTAGGTCATCAAGACAGAATTTTTTATTAGTCCCTGTGAAAATAATGGATCATCTTTGTTTTTCTATGGGCTTGATATAATTTCCCTGCCTTGGTTGTAAGGTACTATATATATGGCAACAAATTAATTGTGTCCTCTGCCCTAGGCATAGGCTTGGCTCAGCATGGTGATTCCTCTGATGAGTTGGAGTTTTCTGCTTGTGACCCAGAGGGGCCAAAGCACCACCTGGAACCTGAAACAGATGCCATTTTTGAAGCACCCAGCAGCTTGTTACTGAATGAGGATCTGGAGGACTGGGACTTGTTCAGTGAGATCACAGCCTGTTACCAAAGCAAAGCCCGAATGAATGCCAGTGCAGACAGTTGTGACCTCCTGGAAGAGGATAGTTCTTTCTGCTCCATCGGCTCCACCCACTCGCTCAGCCTGGCCCTGGACCGGTGCTCATCAGAACCCAGTGTCTGCCTGAGCTCCCAGCTCCCTGCCCAGGGCCACGAGCCGGTGGCCCGCCAGTCCAGCTGCGATGCCACCATCATGCGCAGCCACACAGATTACATGCACAGGCTCAGGCAGCTGCAAGTGGAGAGCCAGAAGCTGATTGATGAAGGTCTAAGCCCTGGGGTTAATAAGGTCAGGCAGAACTTGCGGCAATCACCTCAGACCAGCTCCAGGGTGAAGCAGCTCAGCCTTCAGAAGTCCAGCCCGTCCAACAGGTCCAGCTTCTCCAGCCTGTCCTCTACCACCACCTCCCCATCTGCTTCCTCACTCAGCTCCTTAGACAGTGCTTTCTCGTACTGCTCAGAGTCATCAGCCGTTAGTCCCACAGATGTCTCATCTCAGCCGTTCATGTTTGGCACTTCTGCCAGGCTTCATGCTGTGTCCCCCAAGGTTGCCAAGAGGTCCCCAAAAGAGTGGCACAAATCCCTCATGTCTCCTGTGCTTTTACCTCCATGTGACCTGGATAGTTTCCATGAGTATGAACCCAAGCCTGGAGAGAGCAGTCATTGCTTTGGAGAGAGGAATAGTTTTCCATCTGTCAGCAGAGCTGCTGTGAGAAGCCCACTCACTGACATTGACTGGGAAGAAGAGGAGATACAGCTGAGTTGTGCAGGGTGCCACAGCCTGGGGCTCAGGAACCAGGATTATACCAAAGAAATTGAACAAAAACCTGAATTCCCAGCTGCCAGCCCATCCAGCAAGACATCCCCACAGGTCAGCCACCAGCAGCACAGGGAGAAGACAGTGAAGAACATAGAAACCAAAAGCATTGATGCTTGCCTGCTGAGCCAGGAAAGCCTGAAGCGCACTAAGATCACTTTTTATGTAGCCCCAGATAAAGAAAGCTCTTGGGGGTCCCCAGTGGGAGAGGAGAAGGGGGAGAGATCTGTGGCAAACATCAGCAGTTGTGACTTGCCTAGCAGCAGCAATGAGCAGAGCCGGTCCAAGGGTTTGCAGACTGTAAGAGTCCACATCCCCCAGACAGTTTTCTATGGGCAGAACACCCCCCTTGTTCTGCAGTCCATCTCCAGGCGTTACCACCATGAACCAAAGGTCCCACCCCCACATGCCAAGCACAAAGAGAGCCCCCAGAGTGCCTCCACTCCCGAGGAGCTGGAGAGCCAGCCAGTGGAAACGGCGCAGGCGCCAACCCAGAGCGAGGGCTTTGACACCTTCAGCCATACCATCCACATCATCCTCCCTGCCTACATCCGAAAAACCATCAGGGAGTATTTCAAGCACGATGAAACAGAGCCCTGTCCCACGGTGGAAGTGGAAGCAGTGGAGAATGAACTCCTCCAGAGCAGGGTGGAGTGGCTCAGGAGTCAACCGCTGGCAGACGTGGCTGCAGAGGAGCGTGACACGGTGGCCTTTGCCGAAGAAACATTTGTCTAGGGCAATGGATGTGGAGGAACTAAATATTTTTTTGTGTACGTGCAACAGAAAATATTCTGTAATGTGTGATCAGGGTGCAAAGAATTTAGCAGGCTGCATGGGACGACAAGTGTAAAGTGACACTAATGTGTATGTAATGTTGGGATTCAATAATCATTTTGGTAGGAAGGGTGGGGACAGGGGGGTTGTCCTTCTGTTTTCTTTATGCCCTTTTTTGATGGAAGAGATTTCACTGGCTGGGTGTGTAGTGGGGTAAATGCCACCACACTCTCCCTGTCCATTAATTAGCTGACCTGTACAGGGCCTGACTCTATTTCTTTTTATAGCAGGAAAGGAGAATCTCTGCTTTAGTTTCTCCAGTTAGCTGCCGATGTACGTGGATGACTGGAGAATTGAGACAGCTCTTGCTCTGTCAGAATTAGTTAAAAATCTTTACACTTGCACAAAACTTACCATTATTCACTGTTCATCACCACCATTCATCCAAAGGAAGATCCTTCAGCACCATTCCAGAAATCACTGCTCCTTTGCTCTGCTCGTCTGTTGTCCCCCATGGTCTAACTCACAGCCCACATCCATTACTGGTTGAGTCTGGGTTCCAAAAATACCAACTGGAGCCCAGAGTCCAAAGTCCAGCACTCACTGACAGACAGCATATGTCACATTTTAACCTCAAGATTGCTTCTTCCCCAATTAATTGTGCATTAATTCTTTCATACCTTCCCCAAAGCTAGCATTTGAGAGAGAGACAGTTGCTATGAAGGACTTTAGCACTGTCACTTTGACACGGCTATGAATGTTCTTCAGTGTCCTCTGGGAGTAGCTGGTCGTTTCAGTCCCAGTGAAAGGTGACATTATTTTTCTGTAAATGATGTCCCTTTCCAGAGGCAGTATGGATGGAGCATAATAATCAAATAATAATCAAATTCCTAGTCATGCTAAGAGGGACTTGAGCAGGGCTTGGCTTTAGCATGAGATCAAACAGTTGTGGAAGTTGTCAACAATGTTGTCAAGTGGATGCTGAAGCAAAGTCCTATCTAGCCAGAAAGTTGTCAGTCCATACGCTGAGACTGCCCAGGCTTCAACAGCACTGATGCTGGCTCAGAGAAGCACTATAGTTCCCACCCAGAGTACATGGCCCAGTGCACTCCAGCAGAATTAAGTTTGGAGAAGTTCCAGGCAGGGATGCACTAAGCAGGTTGCTGGTGGGGACCACCAAAGAGAGACAGCCAGTGGACTCCTGGAGCATCCCCATGATTCCACTCAAAGCCATGTTCAGAAGCACCATAGCCATCATGGGGCTTGTTAGAGGATTGTAATGCTGCCAGCTGAGCTCTAAAAAGATGCTGAGAGCACCACATCAGCTTGATAGGGAAAAGTCTCAATGGTTAAAAGGTTTGGGATGGTTCATTTGAAAGTTGCATGAGAGTTTTCTATGGCGGTTTCTCTCAGAGCCACACTTCTTTTACTCAGTGTATAGTGAATGGGTGAAGGACAAGAGAAAAGCATGAATCCTAATGACTGAAAGGTAGTGCTGATGGAGTAAGTGCCCCTGCAAGCTACTGAGTGTCTGTGATTAGCCAGAGCTGGAGCTGCTTGACAACTGCCATGGTTTAGTCCTTGCACAGAGGGGGAAGCCACTGCTGTAAAATGATTTAGGAGGTGTCAGATCCCTCCACTCATCTGCCAGGTGCCTGTGAGGGTCAGTGACAGGAACCTGGCCCAGTACTCCAAATTCACACCATCAAATACTGGGGCAGGGGAGCCAGGAGGAAGCCCAGAGCCCTCTTTCCAAGCTGTATAGGGTTTGTTTTGTTAGATACTGGGTGTTTAACGCTGAGATGTGGCGCACTCTGTCTCTGATCACCTTTGTGCCCCTTGTATAATGAAAGGTGTATATAATCATAACGCAACCCCCTCACCACCATCATTTTCCTCATACATGAACAGCAACAAGGCATTCACAGTCTTTTTTCCAGAGTTGCAGTTGTAACTATTTCAATAAAGGACACACAAGTTGTCATTGTGGTGCTCTGGTCGCCTTTTGTTCCCTTGCTCCTGGCTCCCCTCTCCCCTGTGTCAGGGTGGTGGTGTTTGCAAGCACCCAGTTGTGCTGTGAAAGGCACTCACCTCCCAGTCGAGGTCTGCCAGGCTGGCCACAAGGAACTCTCTGCCACCACAGCAGCTCGAGCATTACTCCTATCTTTTCAAGAAGGTGAAACAGCACTAACTATCATATGAAAAGTCTGCCTGTTCTTGGAAGAGAGATTGTTCTGTATTCTAACTGATTGTAAACTGGCTCAGTGGTTGGGCTCAGGTCAACAAAGGGGACCTGGACCAAATGCAAACTAAGAGCTCACAATTTGCATCACCTAAAGGAATTACAAGCAAGTTAAAAAGAAATGAATTTTTAGAAACACTGAGACAAGTGGGGCTGCCTAATATGGGTGCAGTTGCCTGGTTAGCTGCTCTAACCCAGCCCTCTAGTAATCATTTTTCTATATTTAAAACAAAACAATATCCTGTAAAATGTAGCACAAACCACAGTTCTGGGCATGGAAATCTGCAGCACTCCTTTTTCATGACCCAGACAATAATGCAACTCTGAGAGACCAGTCTTGAAAAAGTTCCACAGTACCCAGCTCACTCATAACAAGAAATACCAAATACACAAACGGTTGGCTTTCTGCCCCAGAAAAGCCACATTTTCCCTTAATGTACAGCCCTGACACATGAATAGGTTTCCCTTCTTTCTCTGCCCTTTTTCAGATCAGAGAGATTTAGACCAAGTTGGCCTCACACACACTGAAAATCCTACTCACTGCCTGACTGGAGACAGTCACTCGGGAAGTCATGTCACATGGTTGCCATCCAGGAAGTGAGGAGCCTTCAGGGCCTGCTCCCAATATAGACCAAAGCCATACAAGTCCAACTCATTTGCCTGGAAGAGAAATGACTCATGCAGTTCACCCTCTTCTCATTTCTGCTCAGCATGTATGATTTGTTTTCTTATTCTGCAGGCTGATAGAAATATGACGGAAGTGCCCGGGGCAGCTGTGGCTTATTTTAACCTTCTCAATCTTATTTCTGACATTCCAACTGGCAGGAAAGCCAGTCTCCAAAGATGTATTCTCCCCCAATCCTTTGCAGGTAGCTCCTTTGCGCAGAGGCCTCTCTGCTATCCCATGGCACCTTTGAGAGACAGACAGCCCTGCCAAAGAGTAGCATGGGATACTTTGACTCCCCGCAGTTGAAAGCTAACAGCTTGTTCTAGAAACTGTTTCTTCAAAGGTCACCCACACAAACACAAGTCACTCAACCCTTCTGAGCCAGCAGCTGCTCCCTCCCTTGCCATCCTGCCCTGTAGGTGCAGAGAGCTGGCACTTTCCAGCGGCAGCCTGGGCTCCAGCTTCAAGCTCACACCGAGCTGGGTGTGGAGGAGTGGGACTGCAAAGTTCCCGATCACTTCGGCTACAAGGGGACACCAGGAGTGGGGAGAGACTTGAAGTGGTACTGAAAGCGGTGGGTTTACTGCTTTCATTTAATTCATTTTTATTCTCTTTGTTTTATTACAGTAAACCTGAGACAAGTTGGAGGAGCACAGAGGTTTGGGGGAAACAGACACAGGCTAGAGGAGTTTTCTGATGTATGACAAAGCAAAGGGCTACCCCGGGAAAGGATTGGCCTTGCCCTGGTCTATGCCAGGAAATCTGCCCCGCAGGTAGCCTTCTGCTAAGAATAAAATTCGTACATGGATAAAATTTTGTACCGATTTTTGCATGAAGGACCGGAGAGGAAGTCAAAGTCTATTGTGGGGATTTACAGAATATCACTCGTCAGCAGGGACCCCGGGCCACGCCGAGGGGGACAGGGTCGGTGTCGGCAGTCAGAAGGCACAGAGGTGCAGAGACCCTCAGACACGAACCGCGGCTCCAGCTCCCCGAGACATCTCCGGGCACGGGGCCGAGCGGGAGGGAGGAGAGGGGGGAGAAGAGGGCAGGGAGAAGGGAGGGGAGGACGGGGAGGAGGAGGGCAGGGAGGGCGGACCCAGCGCAGCCGCCCCGCCAGCGCCCCTGGGCGCCCAGCGCTGCCACCGCAGCCCCGCGGTGAGGTCTGACCTCCATCTCCTCTTCTCCAGCTGAACAAACCCAGTGCCCTCAGCCACTCCTCATATGGCCCCTCCAGACCCTTCAGCATCCTCGTGGCCCTTGCCCTGGACACTCTCTAACAGATTAATGTCTTTTTTATATTGTGGTGCCCAAAACTGCACACAGGACTCAAGGTGAGGCCACACCAGTGAGGAGTAGAGCAGGACAATCACTGCCTTTGACTGGCTGGTAATGCTGTGCTCAATGCACCCCACCAAATTCCATTCAACTCATTCTATTCCAGCCAGGCTCATGGTACCAGAAAAGCACATCTCATAGGTCTAAAAGCCTCCTTATTAGAATTTTATTTGACACGTGCGATAGTACAGCAATGGGAAAATTTAACATTTGGAGACAGTGGCTGATCCCAGAATCAAACAATTCAGGGACCTGTAACATCTCAAGTTCATGGAAGTGGTTCCCACTCTCAGGAACAGTCAGCATGCAAATGTTATCAGTATGCTCTTGCTGACCAAACTCAGGCCACCTACAACATCAAGCCCATCAGTACACTGACCTGTGAACAGCTATCTCTTCTTAAGCTTCCCATATTGGGAAAAATCTGCTCCACTTTTAAAGAGCCAAGCCTTGGAAAATTCTGAGCAGTTACTCATAATAGCAGAATTCTTAAATTTCAAAGGACAGGGCAAGTCACATACAGCACAGATGTTTACTGACACCCACTCAGGGAAATATAAAGCCATACACTTTAGTCCAGTTGCATTCAGCAGAGCATTTAAGCACTTAAAACACGTACCAAAGACCCTATTAAGCATTAAAACTTGTTTAAATAAGGGATTTGCCAAACAGGCATTTCATACTGAATCAAATCTCTATGGTCTACTGCAAGCCAGCCACAAAAAGCAATATTGTCAACCAAAAGCAAAGTACCCTGCCACACCTAAATGAGGATGTGAGCTGTGCAGGAGTCATTTCCAGTTACTGTTTGCTTTGCTTTCCAACCTCCAGCTGTCTCCTGATGTCTGACACATCCATGGGGACCCGCACCGTCAGACCATCCATTGACTTCTTAACATACACCTGGCAGCCAAGGCGTGATCTGAGAAGAAAACATGAAGTGAGGCTCATCTGTTCCCAAAGAAAAGGGAGAAATTCCCCACCCACACTGGGATATGTCTGGTCCAGGATGGGTTTTCACTAAGGCTCCTGTTAAAGATCTCCTGTGCCTCAAGAGAAAGCAGCTCACGAGGCACAACTGTAATACAGAACAAGCCCTGTCCCCTTGGAAAGAGGTGCCACATGCTGAACCTGCCTCAGAGGCCTGAGGATCTACTGCAATCAGCAGGGAGGCTTACGTCTCAGTGAGTCCGTACGCCAAGTCCAGCATGTCCAGCTCTTCATCTGAGATGGCATCAAGCTTTTGGAAGGTGTCCTTGTCAAAGATGAGGTGACAGGTGGAGCAGGCTAACGTTCCTTCACATGCACCTGGTGGAGAAACAAGGTAATGACAGCAAATCAGGAAAATAAGAGCATGAGAGAGACCATCTTCAGGAACAGTGTGAGAAAAGGTCCTTTAGCAGATCTGGAACATGTCAAAAGAGATGCCAGAAAACACAACAGATGGATGCAGGTTTCAGCCTGCCTCTTCTCTGGGAGGATCACAATCAGTTTTCAAATTTGTACATCAGCTCTAACCAGTCAAACATGCTGACAGAGGCTGTTAGAATGCCAGTGCTGACTGTGAAGTCACACTGCCATCTCAGCATGGTAAGCCACCTAGCAGGCAGTTTTTGGGGAAGGGAAGCTTGCTCTATGGTCTCAGCAAAACAGTGGCATATGTACAGTTGCACTATTCCCAAGTACCCACTGGTCCTTAGAGCACACACATATATCCTTCTGCAACACCTACCAAATCCATCAATGGCCAAGTTTTGATTGACTACCACTTCCAGCAAACTCTCCCCTTCTTTGGCTGTGGTTGTAAGTCGCTCTCCATCCCGATTTATAAAATGCACCGTCACCTGACCTGCAGAGCTGTAAGACAAGTTTGCAAAAATCAGGAGTCCACCCCTTTCCTGCATGCCCACAGTTGAGGTCTTTTGGCTGAGCACTAGAGACATGGCACATGAAGGGAAACATGCATACAACACTTTCTCAAAGGATTACACCTTGGACCTCAGAAAACATTCAAATTAACAGTTCTCAGTGGCAAGCAAGTCTGAGTTGCCCCAAAATGTTTCCCACTTTATCAAACATCCCTCAGAATAAATGTCTATCTGTGCATGAAAAAGTACAGGTGCTCTGCATCTGCTGCTTCTGCTTGGGCAGGCTGGCAGAGGGAGCATGTTAGGCAGGCAAAATATTTGCAAGTCCTGGGCCTGGGATGCTAATCCTGGATAGAGTGATGTATTAACAAGCAAAGTGTTCAGGATCAGATACTAATCCTGCAAGAAGGGCTGTTGTCATTTATGTTTTTTTTCCCCCGTTCCATTCCAAAGGAGATTACTCGTGACTGTTCCTCTTCTGCTGCTTTCTTCAATGAAGTGCCCACTTCTTTCCTGAACTCTATCACAGGGAGCCTTCTTGGGACAAGACATGCCCATCCCCAACTTACAGAGCTCCCAGGCTGAGTAACCTCCTCCCAGCTGATGTGATCCTCGCTCAGAAGAAATTGGTAGTTATTTTGACAGCTTGTGAGATCTATAAATAAGAGGAAAACAGCACCCACTTCATCTCCTCCAGACCAGGCTCTCACACAAGTGTGGAGAAGGCTGCCATCCTGACAGTGGTGTCAGGGATTTCCCACCAAGGCAGTACATTCTGAGATTGTGTTATATTTGCCAGGGGAAGCACATGAGCAAACAGTGTTTTTTCTTAGTGTACATACCCAAATGATCACTTAGAAAAAGGGGTT